GATTCATCGCTGTTGATCGTTCCTTTTTCTGTGCGCTCATAAAACCTCAAATTTTTCATAAATTTCCTTCCATTCCCCTTTTTGCCTTCCTTTCTGCGCTACTCACGAATCTCACTGGATCACAATATGAATTCATACGTACCTTCAGCTTCTGTGCTTTTCAAATTTTGTTTTGAATTATTAATCTAATGGTTGACGGTGACATAATGGTTTGATGTATCGGAAATGATACGGAGGACATCACGTTTTCAATATTAAGTACAGTTTCACTGATCAGTTGCAATACCGAACAGCTCAATTGCAAATTCATCTTACCCTAGTTCAGGGACTCGGAATTGTAATTCTCCAAAAAATTCACACTCATATTTATCACTTGCTTATCAGTTACGTTTATCAAGTTTTGTTTGGTATATACATTTATTGCGTTTATTTCATCTGATATTTACGAATCCACCAAAACAATCTAACATCATCCCCAGAAACCAACTTTCATCACCCGTTTCAACCTCATGCTATAGCAAGATTCTAAGGTCAGGTGAAGGAAGTTCTTTGCTCCGTACCAATATAAAATGAAGTAATGGTATTTGTTCGATCTAGTACAATATCGCTATTAGTTCCATCCATCTAAACTGTCCTCATTAAGGGATAAATTGGGGTTCAGTAGCAGCAGATCACTAAAAATATATGAATTGATTTAGTGGATATGTCTCTAATCATTCACTGTATCAATACAATATTGTCCGTCCGTCCGTTCATCGATTACGAACAGCGATGGTCTAAAGTGCATGATCAATATGTGCTTTTTTAACGTGCCCATTATTCAGTTGTGTTATTCTTTTTGTATCGTAAATATTTTTATCATTCTGTTGTGCACTGAATCAGTTTTAGTTGAGTTTAGTGTTCATATCAGTGTTATTTTGCGTTTGCTGTCTATTGTACAATCGTAGCGAGTGTTGACTACTTACCACTCAACTGATTGATTAAATGTATCAAGTTTTAATGGGCTGGGAATATTTGTTCTATAAATTTGTTTTTGATTGATTGATGAAGTTGCATTTTAAAAAACGAGTTTTATCTCGTTTGCACTGATCGTTATTGGTATGGTTACTAAAATCATGACTTCTTTGGCGGTCGTGAATTGGTATTTTGGGTTTTATTGTCTTACGGACTTGCTTGTGTTTTGGATTAGTTGCGATGGAATTCTACAATCGTTGTAGTGCGATTTGGATTAGGTAATCAGAAGTTCCACGTGGATCGATTAAGTAATTGTAACGATTAGATAAATTGTTCGGAATTAATTTCTGAAGGCAACAATAGTTTACCTACAGCGATGATTTGAGTTGATGATTTGAATTGTAATGCTGACGAACAATATTATGAAACAATTCAGAAACGATTATTTTGTTTGTGAAATTGTGTGATTTTTGATTTGCGTGCAACGTTTGTATTTCCCGTGATTTTATATATCTTATCGAATACACAGTTACAAATTTCAATTTTAGGTTGTCATCAGTCGGTGATATAGCGATAAAATTCACGTAAAATGTCATCGGGTGTATTGGTAAATCCGGAATGTCAAAGCATTTTCCAGCAGCTCTCTGAGGGTAAACAAAAACTTCGTTATATCATCTACAAAATCGAAGAGAAAGAGGTGGTCGTTGAGGCTGCAGTCACTCAAGCTGAGGTGTTTATTTCTGGAACTCTTCCGATCATTTTCTCGCTTCAAACATCCATCCCATTTCTCCGCTTCATTCCACGTACTTCTCATAGTTTGATTCAGTCATACTCAAATATGCTGAAACATTCACTTATACTGGAATCTCATGGATTTATCCAGTGTTTCAATTCAATTCAAATCTGAATGAATAAGACAGAAAATTAGATTCGAGTATGATACCGTAGATTTCCGATTTATAAACTGATATACACAAGAAGCAATACGGAAGAAGTATTCGTTTGAGTCTATCTGCATCATTAGTCTATCAGCATCTGACATATCTACTGATCTGAATAAGAGATGGCTTCTTTAAACATAAATGAATCAATCCATGACATTTCATTATTGCAGATAGGTATTTCGGGTGATGACTATGAGGATAACTCGAAGGCAGCGTACGAGGCGTTCGTTAAGGACTTGAAAGAACGGACGAATGGATTCGCTGATTGTCGTTATGCAGTATTTGACTTTAAGTTCACTTGCAATCGACCCGGAGCTGGCACGTCGAAAATGGACAAAATTGTTTTCATTCAGGTTCGCTGGATCGATTGAAACTTTTGATATTTTGATATTTGTGAATGAATTTTGAGTTTTTATCATCAAACTTATCAATTTATTGACGATGATCTACATGTATTGTTGCATTCGCAGTCATCAGGCATGAGCACTGACTTTTATACGTGACAAATGATAAGCGATAATGTAGACAAATGAAGAGTGATATTTGTTCAGTTATGTCCGGATGGTGCCCCAATTAAAAAGAAAATGGTCTATGCGTCATCGGCGTCCGCTATTAAAGCATCTCTAGGCACAGCGAAGATTCTTCAGTTCCAGGTTCGTTCGTTATTTATGATTACAATCCAGATTTGCTTCGAAGTTTCCGATTTTGTTGTGAATTTTTAGGAGAAAGATAATACAAATTCTACTTGAATTCGATATTCATTTCAGTGGTTTAAGTTACATCACTATGTCGTTTATAACTTCTTCAATGCTAATTGTTTCTATCCCAAAAATAAGCTCTAACAGTTTTGCGCTTGATCGAAGACATGATATTTGAGGTGATTTATGTGGTTAAGTTAGATCTCTTGAAATCGAAAATCTCTATCCTTACAGATCGGATATAGATTTCGACTCATAAACCACAGTAAACAATTTCTCTGCAGAAATTGATGTTTCTTTGCGAATCTCGCCAACTGCGCCAGTCAATAACACTTCAGAATTTGCGAGTGTTTGCTTTGCATACACCGAAAAACACAATCAAAAACGAATCAACTCAACTAACTCGTTTCAGGTATCAGACGAAGCCGATATCGCCCATCAAGAGTTGTTGAACAAATTGAACGAGAAATATCGTGACAACTAAATGAGCTGCTGCTCTTAAGTGATAATTCTGATGGATTGATTTATTGTTGATCGATTGTTTGATTGATTGATTGATTGATTG